GGGATGCCAGTGCGCCCGGTGGGTACCGAGGTAGGTACCAGGGTGGGTACCCGGGATGCTGGTGCCCCGGGTGGGTACAGGGATGGGAACCGAGGTCGGTACCGCGGTGGGTACCGGACTGGGTACCGGGAGTGTGCAGGGTGGTACGGATGCGCCGGGTGGGTACCGGGGTGGATGGATCCCGGTGGATGAGCACCGGGGGCTGAGTACAGGGGATGCCGATATGCCCTTAACTCGGGCTGGGGGTGCCGATGTGCCGGGGTGAGTACCGGGCCGGGATCCCGGAGATCCCAGCGCGGCGGGTGGGCGCAGGCGGCCCCGCTCGCCTCCTACAAGTCCCACAAGCCCCTCCGGGAGGCCAAGGACTACATCTCCCAGGCTGCCGGGGCCGGCCCCCCGCCCCGCACGGCACGGCACGGCCCCGCACGGCGCGGAGGGCGGTGGCGGCGGCGCCCGGGTGAGCCCGGCGGCGGGGCCGTGCCGGAGCTGAGCCAGGTACCGCGGCGGGGACGGGCCCGGGGCGGGGGTGCGGGCACGGCTCGGCTCGGCTGGGCTCGGCTCGGGGCACCGGTGCCGGGGAGGCGGCGGGGATGGCGGGCTGCGGCGGGGGAGCCTGAGCGGGAGTGCCCCGGTGCTGCGGGCTGGTCCTGGGGCTGGGGGCTGGTCCCAGGGAGCATCCACACGGGGTGCGTTGGGTTCAGCCCCGGCGTGATGGTCGCCGTTGTTGGCCCCGCTCCTCGGTGCAGATCCCGGTGCTGGCGGCCGGTCCCGCTGCTGGGAGCACCCACCCGGGATGCGGTGGGTGCCGAATAGCCCCGGGAGGATGCGCTGCCCTGGGGTGCTGGCCTCGAATCTGGGTGCAGGTGCGGGTCCTGGGTGCTGGTCTCGGTGCTGGGTGCTGGCCGCCGGGAGGATCCACCCGGGATGCAATGGGTTCGCACCCGTGAGGTTGCGCTGGCCCGAAGTGCTGGCCCGGGCCCTGCGGTGCTGGCCCCCGGGGAGGATGCGCTGGCCCCGGCCGCGGGCTGCAGCTCCAGGGTGCTGCCCGGGAGGATGCACTCACACCGGGGAGGATGCTGGCCCTGGCAGAGAGGTCGGGGCTGGGGCTCATGGAGCTGCTTCCCTCCAGCCGAGTGCCCCGGGATACCGTGGGCAGAGCTGGGGTGGCCACAGAGGGGACCGCGGCGGGAGGGCTGTTTGCGGGTGACCCTGGTCCCCACCAGTGCCAGTGTGAGGTCCCTCAGCAGCAGTGTGACACATGGCTGCGTGACACATGGCGTCCATTGCATAGGTAGTGGCAGCCAGGATTTCACAACCAGCCTGAGCGTCCCTGGGGACAGGGTAGGAAACTGTCACGGAGCAGGGGATGTCCCTTGCCTGCTTCTGTTTGTGTGTGGGGCACCAGCACGGGCATTGGAGTGAGATCTCATTGGTGTGCCTGTCCCAGTGTTTTGTGGTGTTTCCCTGGCTGAGGCACGGCTGCCAGAGTGGAATTGGTGCCAGAGCCTGGATTTCAGGGCCTGGTGATGCAAGGGGTCCCCACACGTGCCAGGGGCTTGGGTGCTCCTGGCACAGGGGAAAGGCAAGGTTTTGCTAAGGCTCCAGCTGCAGTCAGAGCACTTATCCCAAAGCTCCCAAATATTTCCCTGGAGCAAGGGCTTCCCATCCCAGCAGGAGAATTTTTAGGGGGGAGGACATCACTCCGGCAGCGTGCAGGCTCAGACTGGAGGAAGGGCCGCGTCCCCTCCTGCTGCCAGCAATCATAACACGTGGCCGGGGGGAACCAAATCACACCAAACCCCCAAAACTTGCTGAGATTCCCTCCAGGAAGACGCGTGGGCTGATGGAGGCAGTTTTGCCCCGCATTATCCGGGGCTCCCCCGTTTCCAGCCCTGAGTGGCCAAGGCGGTGAGCGCCGACGGGAAGTTCCTCAGCGCTTTGGGCTTGGTTTTCCTTGTTCCTCTCCTTCCATCAGAGCCAGAGGTCGCGGCGGCAGCGGGGAAGCTCGGGCTGGGGGGGGATCGCCTTGCCCGCCGCCCCCAACCCCACCCCAGCCGCGCGCGTGCCCGTCTGTCTGTCTGTCTGTCTGTCCGTCTGTCCCCATGTGGCAGCGAGCGGCGGCCCCGCTGCCGGTCGTGTGCGGCAGCTGCCTGTCAGAAGCGTTTCCCTCTCCTCCGAGGAGCTCATGGCGGTTCTCGGGAACGGCGGCGGGGCGCGCTCCGCTCGCCGCCCACGCCTCGCCGGCGCCGGAGGCAGGCGGGGAGAGCCCCGGCAGCCGCACGCTGGGGGAGCGCTCGGATTTTCATGCCCCAACAAGCCCCAAACTGCCGCTTTTTCGGTGGAGGGCTCTGGCGGTGCCGAGGGCGCGGTGGTTTCGCTGCGGGCTCTCGGCGCGCCCGATGCTGCCCAGCTCGGCACACCGAGGTCCCGGCAGCTCCACGGCTTTCCTCTGCTCCCGCCGCATTAAATTCTTGCACGAGTGCAAGCTGCGAATCGCTCTCTTGGCCGGCTTCAGTGCTTCTTCGTGAGCCGGGATTTATCAGAGCCCGCTGGACCCCGGGGGCTTGGGATGTGGTGGGAGAGGCTGGGAACCTCCTCTCCCTGCCCTGCTGGGCTCCACGCTGCCCTCCGGGACACCTCCTGGCTTCATGTCGCTCTTTGCCGTCGGTATCTTCCATAAGCTTTTTTTTTGGAAAATGCAAGAGATTTAGGTCCCAGCTCTATGGCAAAGTTCCCAAAGATACCCCCAAAACTGCACGTGGATAAGCGGTAAATATATACAAAAATTTATATCATCTATCTGTATATCTGCACTGTGATATATGGATTTTTTTTTTTCTTACTGGAGGGGTAGTTCAGTGCTGGGAATCTAAAATAACCCCCTCAACAACCGCTCTTGGGAAACCAGAACAAGCTGCAGTCACTTTGCTCCGGGTGCCACCATGTCCCCACCAAAAGACTTTTGATCTGCAGCAGTAATTGGGCTAATTAGGAAGCTGCAAATGCTCCCCCTTCTCCCCAGGTGTCTGAGCAGAGCCCCAGCTAGCAGAGAGAAGTCAGGGGCCCTCGCCAGTGGAACTGCTCTAATTTTACATTTAATGGGAGTCCCTGGCTGTAACTGGGCTGTGCTGGGATTGATGGCCTCTGGCCTGGGAGGCCCATAACTTCCCGGTGATGAAATCTCATAGGTACAATTTCCCTAATGACATCAAAGGCCTCTGGGTGTTGCCTGCAGGCAGAGCAAACCTGGGCTGGTTTACCCACAGTGTGAGCCAAGTTTGCAGTTCTCAGCTCGGGCTGTGCCCCGGGGGGGAGAGAGGGCGGCTGTGGGTCACAGCACCCATTAACCAGCCCTGGAGAGCCAAAGGAGAGCCTTTGGTTTTCCACTGCCTCCCAGCCTCGGTGCTGATGAGACCCAGGGTGGAGGAAAGGAAAGTGCAGTGGGGCTCCCTGTCCCTGCTCACCTTCTCTGGGCAAAGGGCAACAAACGACAGCAGCAGCAGCACCTCCCTGGTGCAGCATCCGCCCATCCCACACTCCTGCACATATTTTTCTGGTGAGGCAGAAGGCACAAACCTAAAGGGCCCAGGCTGGTAAAACGAGCAGCGGTGGTGGAGGGAGAGTGGTTCCTTCAGGGCAGCCAGCGGGGACACTCGGGGTGCTGCAGTGATGGATTGGGAGCAGGGGCCCTGCCCGTCCTGGGGAGCACGTCTGTGGTGTGGCCACGTCCTTGCAGGCACCTGAGGAGGGAGGGAGACTGATTCAGGGGTGTCTGTGGGATGCAGCCCTGCTGCACCAGGCAGGGAGGGGGACACAGACCAGGCAGATTGTGCTGATCCCAGTCTGCGGCTGTGGGAGGGTGAGATGGAAGTGTGGCTGGCAGCAGACAGCCTGCTCCCCTTGGAGCCAGATGGCTTTGCACGGGGAGAGTGCCCACCCAGCATGGCCCCATCAGGCAGCACAGGGTGCTGGAGCTGATGTGTAGTTCCCCAAGGGTTCCCACTGCGGTTGAGCCGAGGGGCTCGGGATGCTGCTGAACCAGTCCCTGCAAGACCCATCCACCAGCAAGGGTGGGAGCCTTCTATTCTGAGCTTTCCCACTGCTGGCACTCCCCTGTGCCCCCAAATCCCATAGGAAATTGCCTCAGCGAGGCTGGCTCCATCCCAGCTCCATGCTGGGGATTTGGTCTCCACGCTTGTTCCTGGCCTTATCCCAGCACTGAGGGACAAACCCAAAATAACCCCTCCAGAGGCCAGGAACAAGGAAAGGCTGGAATTGCTGCTCTTGGCAACCAGGGGTGCAAGTAGGGTTTAAAACATGGGAAACCCAATTAACTTGGCTCCATTAGCTGATTGAGCTGGCTGATAAGAGTATGATTAATTAAAAGGATGAAGAATAAGTTACCAGGTCTTCTCTGCTGTCGGGATGTGGCGATGGCTTAATGCATGAAATTGGCTTCTTCTCTTAATACCTGGTGCTCAGCTACTACTGGCCATCAGTCCTGCATGGCACTGATCCACAGCAGGGAGAAACATCCTTGTGCCAACACTGGGTCTGCTCCCTGCTCCTCTCCCATCCAGCTTCTAGGGATGAAAAAAAATTCACGGGGAAAATATAACACCTCTGGATGGACAGTGCAGGAGAGAACCTTCTTCATTACCTGTGCTGTTCTCGCCAGCTCTTGGTCTGGCTCTGGAAGCCCAGTGATGCAGAGGGGCAGGGTATGATCCCTTCCAGGGTAACAGGAGCTGACGTGGAGGCAAGCGGGGCGCGTTCCTCGGTGCTCTGCCCGCGGGGCTGCAACCTCCAGCGGCGCTCGGGCCTGGCAAGAAAGGAAATTAGAACAGTTTTATACATTTTTGTAATAATCCAGCTCGCTGAAGTTGGGTCTGAGACAAGGACAGGTCACCACTCGGTGTTTCTGCCTGGGGCTGAAGGAGGTGGGAGAAGACTCAGCTCACATCCACTCCTTCCCTGTCAAAAAACCCTCAGCCCTAACTCTCAGTTATTCCATCATGACAACAGGAGAGATGCTGGTCTGGTCCAAGGGGTCCCTGTGTGCTTCCCCCTCTTCCACCTGCAAGAGTCATGCACTGCTCTGGCACCCTGTCAGTGGTTTGGTGGTGGCAGAAGTGATGTCCCTGCTCAGGGGCCATGGGATGGGTGGCACCTGGTCACCTGCATCTCCTGAGGACTTCTGGGGGAATTTTCAGCCCCGTCATCCCTGGGAAGACCAGCAGTTGGTGCAGGCAGTGCTGCCCCTGCTCCTCCACTCCTCTCCCTGCCCCAAACAGGGTGACATCCCATCTCCCAGTGACAGCTCCTTCCTGTGCCCACCCTGCCGTTTATCGGCCTGGAAATTGGTGCCAACAACCTCAGGATATCTTAGAAACGAGCAAACAAAGGCAAGAAGACCTTAAGATGCTGGGTGGGGATGTGCCTGGTGGCATTACAGCTGATGGGGAAGGGACAGGCATCCTCCAGGCCCTGGGGCTGTCAGTCACATCACTCCAGCACTCCTCCTGAAATGAAGGATTACATGATTGGAAAAAACCATCCAGCTGTAAAAGCAGCAGAGCAATTTGCTGGGACCTTTTAATAGCCTCATTTCATTATCTCCTGCAATCAAAGAGAAACTTGTGTTTGATGAGCACAGGGTACCCAGGAGACAATTTAGGATCCTGGGGATGAATTTGGGAGTGGAAGGGTATTTAGTGGCATGGCTGGGTTGCTGGGCTTACTCACCACAGGAGAAATCCTGAAATCCCTTGTTATTTTAAGAAGGAAACATCAAAAATCTGGTGCAAAGTGCTCCTGCGGGGGGGTTTTATTTGTGGAGGCGGGTTGGGTTAGGATTGGGCAGGGAAGGCATGGAAATTGCTGGGGTACATGTGGATGTGTGGGTGCCCTGTGCCTGCTGGGGGCTGTAAGGACCAGTGCAGATGGAAATAGCTGCCAGCTCCTGCTAGGAAAATGATGACTCAAACCAGCCGCTGGGATTTAAGGCTTCTTTTACCGCGCATGAGCTGGGCTGGAGGGGGGGGTTCCCCCCGCTGTGGTCGGGGGCAGTTCCGGGAGGCCCCGGGTCGGGGGGGACCAGCACAAAATGTGCTCCAGATGCTGCCAGGGCTGGGATGCATCAGGCAGGACCAGGCTGTGCTGGGGAGCCGGAAAGGGATTTCCCCCTTTTCACCAGGAACAAAAATAACACAAGCACACGTGATAGCTCATTTCCTTTAGCCTTTAAAAAGCCCCGTGGGATGGTGAGCGGCGGGAGCAGGGGAAGGGGATCTGCCCATCCTGCCTGGCGTCCCCTGCCACGTCGCAGCTGAAAAAAAGCACGAAATTAGCCTTTTACCTCCAAATCCTTCCAGTGTTGTGCATTTAGGGGGGAATATACCTTTGTACTGGCTTTATCCCAAACTCCCCTGTATGAAAAACAGCCACCCTGCTTTTCCCTCTGGCAGCAACCCAAGGAACTCGTTGCAGTCACTTCTGGACATGTGTGTGGCATGTAATTGTGTTTAAATGCCTCCCCCAGAGCCTGGGAAAGGACTTGGACTGGGATGTGCCCTTGGTTTTTGGCTCTTTCCTTTAAAGACTGTCACCACTTGAACAAATATTTGACAGTGGGTTAAGGATTTGGGCAGGAGGCATCCATGCAATGGGCTGGGGGAGACTTTGGGGTCCATAGTCTCCCCCCATCCCAAGGAATTTTTTGGGAGGTGCAGGAGTCTCTGTCCCTTGTAAGAAAACCAGCATCTTCCAGAGGATGTTTTTCCTAGGGAAGAGGCATCCTGGTGCCTGCTAGCTCCTAATTAGTGCTGCCAGCCTCATGCTGGCCTAGCTGGAGCCAGGGCTGGGCTGTGGAGATGATGCCACTGCAGGGTTTGGCCTTGGGGGGGGGTTGGGGGGTCATCCTCTCCCCAAAAAAAAGGCCTGGAGGGGAGGTCACATCTCCATTCTCCTGAGATGCTGGATCCTGTCCCAGCTCAGTAACTGAGCTAAAAGGGGATTTTCAGCCTTTTTTTTTAAATTTGGCCGAGGAAGGGGATCTGGCTTTGCCCTCCCCCCGGCTCGGGGGGCTTGGCCGCCCCTCTCGTCCCTGCCCGGGCGCAGGCGCCGGCACCTCTGCCCTGGCTATTTTTACCCGCCAGGATCACGAGCGAGCGGGTGACCTTCCCTGAGGGATGCTGCCACTCGGGGCGGGGGGGACAGTCCCAGCGCCGGTCCCCGGGGTGCCCGTCAGGCTGCGGAACAGCCGCTTCCCGGGTGTCTCGGCGGCGGCAGCAGCCGGAAAAGAGGGTTTTGGAGGGGCCGCTCATGGCGTGATAGAGAAGGAGGATTGAGCCTACGGAAAAGGAGCCCCTTGTTCGGCTCCGTAGGCGAGTTCGTGGCTGAGCCTTTGTCTGGCAGGGACAGGGAGGGCACGGCCCGGGAGCTGCGGGGGTTTCCCCGGCACAGACAGCAGTGCTGGCACCTCGGCTCCCTTCGCACCGTGCGCCGGCTCGTCCCCTTTGGGGATGGCTCGTACCCTGTGCCAGGGATGGCCCGGGAGCCGTTTCGTCGCGTTCAGTGGGGAATAAACTCCTGAGCCCCCGGCGCCCTCCTCCAGCTCTGCCGGCTCTATCGCCGCCCCGTGACCCGCTGTCCCCTCCTTCCCGCTCCAGGCCGGTGTCGTGGTGGCCGCGTTCCCGAGCCAGGAGCTGCGGGCCCGGTGCCAGCGGATCAGCTAAACCCGGGGATGACGAGCACCGTGGCAGCTGAGCGCCAGCCGGGGCCGGGACCCGGAGGAGCCGCCGGGACGCGGTGCCGCGGCTGAGCCGGGCGAGCCGAGTCGTGCCCGAGCCCCGCGGCCGGGGCCAGCAGCAGATGCTCCCTACCTGGCACTCGGAGCCACCGGGGGCCCTCGCCGCGGCTGAACAACGCGGATGGAAAGCTGCAGCCCAGCAGGTAGGAGCCCGGTGCGGTGGGTCACGGAGGGCTCTACATCACCCCCCACCCCGCTGGCACCGCAGGGAGTTAAAGCTGTCGTTCCCGCAGGGAGCCTTGCTGGCCGGCTGACACCATCCCGCGCCCTATGCCCGCGCCCTGTGCCGGAGCGGGCGCCGTCCCCGGCTCAGCCACCCGCCGACCATGAAGTGCTCGTTGCGCTTCTGCTTCCTCTCGACCGCCTTCCTGCTCGTCTTCGTCATGTCCCTCCTCTTCACCTACTCCCACCACAGCATCGCCTACCTGGACCCCGGCGGGCTGGGCGGCATCCACCGGGTGAAGCTGGTGCCCGGCTACGCCGGAATGCAGCGGCTCAGCAAGGCGGGGCCGTACCCCCGGGGCTGCGCCTGCCGCCGCTGCCCCGCCGAGGAGCCCGGGGCCACCGACTGGTTTGACGGGCGCTATGACGGCAGCGTGTCCCCGGTGTGGACCAAGGACAACATGGACCTGCCGCCCGATGTGCAGAGGTGGTGGATGGTGAGCACAGGGATGGGAATGCTGTGATGTGCTCTGGCACGGGGGGGTCGCTGGCTGATGCCCCCCTGCCTTCCTTCCCTCCCTGCAGATGCTGCAGCCCCAGTTCAAGTCCCAAAACACCCACGAGGTCCTGAGCAAGCTCTTCCAGATCGTGCCAGGAGAGGATCCCTACCGCTCCCGTGACCCGCGGCGCTGCCGCCGCTGTGCCGTGGTCGGCAACTCAGGCAACCTGCGTGGCTCCGGTTACGGGCCGGAGATCGACGGGCACGACTTCATCATGCGGTGAGGGAGGGTCGGGGAGCACTGCTGGGGGCACTGCCCACCCCCAGGCCCACGGGCAGCACAAGATGCTGGCACCTCCAGGTGCTGGGATGGGTGGGAGTGGGTCCAGCCCTGCCACCTCCCCTGGGCTGGCTGGGGGGGACCCTCATGTCATCCCAGCACTCTGAGCATGAGCAGGCTGGGAAACTGCTCCTTGGCAGCATTCAGCAGCTCACGGGGGACATCCGTGTCACCTGCAAGGCACGGGGGGGCTGGGAGGGTGGTGTGACCTTCCTGGCTCTCTCCCCAGGATGAACCAGGCCCCCACAGTGGGTTTTGAGGGCGACGTGGGTGGTCGGACCACACACCACTTCATGTACCCCGAGAGTGCCAAGAACCTGCCCGCCAACGTCAGCTTTGTGCTGGTGCCCTTCAAAACCCTGGACTTGCTCTGGATCGCCAGTGCCCTCTCCACTGGCCAGATCAGGTTGTAAGTACCCAGTGGGCACCAGCAGCACCAGGCTGGTGACTCACCTACCTTGGGGACAGCTCCCCTGGGAGCAGAGGGAGTTCACTGGTTCCTCCCTCGGCAGCTCAGGCTGGAGATGGAGGTGTGGGACCCCAGAGCTCACCTGCCTTTCCTCTTTTCCCAGCACATACGCACCTGTGAAGCCTTTTCTGCGTGTGGACAAAGAAAAGGTACGGGGGGCTCATCCCCACAATGCCATGAGCACCTATTTGGCCACAGCCCCTGTTACCCCATCAGCCCCCAGGGCTACCAGTGCTCCTTCTCGGGGTGCCAGTGCTGACAGGGGCATGGCTGGGGCTCCAGCACTAACCCCAGCCCATCCTCCCAGGTACAGATCTACAATCCTGCCTTCTTCAAGTACATCCACGACCGCTGGACGGAGCACCACGGCCGCTATCCCTCCACTGGCATGCTGGTGCTCTTCTTCGCCCTCCACGTCTGCGACGAGGTAGGTGATGGCTCCTTCAGCTCCCGGCTGGCACGGGGTGGGTTTGCTGGGATCCTGAACCTTGCAGGGCTAAGGAAGGAGGTGGATTCTTTGGGTCCAACCGCAGCAGCGTTCGCTTGCTCTGGTTGCCTGACACCATGGTGATGGGCACCCTTGAGGGGTGGGAAGGCTGTGCAGGGAGACAGGGAGGAGAAAAATCACCCTGGCATTGCATCAGGTGCCCAGACAAGGGGGTCCCCCAGCCTGGGGATGGGTTCTGGCTCACTCCCTTCCTTGCCCCTGCAGGTGAACGTCTTTGGGTTCGGCGCTGACAGCCGGGGGAACTGGCACCACTACTGGGAGAACAACCGCTACGCGGGGGAGTTCAGGAAGACGGGGGTGCACGATGCCGACTTCGAGGCGCACATCATCGACATGCTGGCCAAAACCAGCAAGATCGAGGTTTACCGGGGCAACTGAGGGCTGTGCTGCCCCCGGCTCCCTGCTCTGCCGGGTCCTGCTGCCTGCGGGGGCAGAGGGCGAGGGTCTCCCCGGTGGCCTCGGCCGACGAACACCAGTCGGGCAGCGCCGGTTCCGCGCCGCTGACGGAGCCACCCCGGCGATATTTGGTGCCTCCAGCAGCCAATCAGGTTCAGAGCTAAAGGAGACTTTTTGCTTTTTTTTTTTTTAATAATTATTATTATTATTATTATTAAGAAACCCAGCTGAGAAAGGATTTATAAACACAATCAGCGACTGACCAGGCGGCGGGGGCAGCCGCCTCGCATCTCTACAGTCAAACCAAATGCTGCTCTTTTTAAAACAAGACAACCCCCCACCCCGAAGCTGGGTGACTTTGGGGAACCCCTCGAGCACCAGCGTCTGGGCCGAGGGGGCTGAGGGAGCCGCGGCGGCTGCGCAGCCTCACCAGTGGAACCAGCTGCTTCTTTTTTCCTCTATTTTGGGTTTTTGTTGGTTTTTTTTTTCCCACCTGGGGCAGCCGATGCCTCGTTTCTCCAGAGAAGGCTCCCAGCAGAGGCAGGTCCCAGCACGTGGATCCATGGGGAGCTGGCAGCTGCAGGAAGCCGATCATTGCCAAAGCTCCACTGCAGGCTGGTGATCACTGGCACAGCTGGGCTGGGAGATGAAGAGGAGCCCTGACTTCAACACACAGGATCCCTGCTCCTCTACCCGAGGACTGAGGAAGGATATGACAGATTTTGGGAGCGACTGTGCAGGAGGCAGCTCAGAAACCCACAGGAGCAGCAGCCCAGTCCCTCTGGCTGGGCTCTGTGAGCGGTTGCAGGATTCACAAGGCTGTGGGATGCAGCAGGGTCAAGGAGACAGGATTTCCTTCGCTTTCAGGCTGGGAAAAAACAGATTAGAGATAAGCTTTAGAGGGTGATTGAACTGTGCTTTTGCTTTTGTGTTGCTCTGAAGAGCTCTGGTGAGAAGCTGAAATCCCAAAGTCTGCTCCATTTGCGAGGGTGGTACTTGGTTCAGACCAGTCTGATACAGCTGGTGCCTTCAGGGTCCCCAGGGCTTCCCAGGCTGGACAGGCATGAGACAGGGAGATGCTGAAGTAAACTGCCTCCCCAGAGGTGTCATTAAAACCACTTTTCTTTGGGTCAGTCAGATGGGTGGGGGTTTTTTTTTGGTTTGTGTTTTTTTGGGGTTTTTTTTTAGGAGGTGCTGGAAAGCTCAAGAAAAAGGCAATCATGGAAAAGGTCCCCCAGAGAGGGACCCTCCACCTGTGCAGCCAGTGCCAAGAGTGGGGTGGGGGCTGTGGGGTTGTGCCCAGCTGGGGAAGCCCTGCCCACACTGCCTGGCTGCAATAGTTGTTTGAGGAACAATCACCATAGGGTTTTTTTGGGCTTTGAGGATTTTTACCCTTTTGTGTCTGGCTTTTCTGTAGCAGCCTCTTACCTGTTTCTCTGCTTCAGTTTGGTTGTTTTTTAGGGTTTTCTTCTCTTTTTTTCTTTGAGGTTTCTCTCTGCAATCATCAAACACCAGGGTGTGGGTTGGTCACCTGGAGCAGGCACTCAGGAGCCCCTGGGCTGGGGAAATTCAGCTTTTCTGTCCACAGGGCTTTAAACCCTCGAGTTTTGTGGTGGGTTTTGGTAGGTGTGGAGCTGCCCCAGCGCTGGCAGCGTCGAGCCCTGGGGCACAGAGGCAGGTGGCAGCGAGCCCTGCTCTCCACCTTCCTGGGTGGCTTTTTAGTTTTTGTTTTGTCTGGTTTTTTTACGGGGAAGAAAAGTAAAAACCACAAAACCACAAGCAACAACGAGTGCCTTGACCATCTCCCATCGGCCACGCCAGGCTGTGCCCGCTCCCGTGCCGGCAGCAGGGACTTGGCCAATGTATCTGGCAGTCGTACCCTCCTCGCACCAGGCTGGATCTTAGTTGGGAAGAGAGGGACACACCCAGGCCACTATACTGGTGGCTAGAAAGGCCAAATCTAGTGTGATGAGGCCAGACCAGCTCCCGGCCTGGCCTGACAATCACAGGGCAAGTGGAGGCGCCGGGTGCCAAGCCCGGGTACCAAACCCTGCAGCAGCACAGTGCTGGCACCTGGCAAAGGGTGTGTTCACAGCTCGGGGCTGCCCTGACAGTATTTTTTTTTTTGCTAACTTCCTTCC